CGCCTGTGGTGCTCGGGGCAGGGCCGTGAGCAGCCTGCCCGCTCCGCTCAGGCTCTGGAGAGTTCCGGGCGCTTCCTCCCACACAGAGATTCTCTCGACTGCTTGGGTGTTCTTAATTTTGTAAAAGGTGGAAGTGTGTTGCACACAGGAAGGAATGCCACCGGGGACTGACAGTCGACTGGGCTTGTCCTCAGGTTGAGAGCGACAGTGCCCTTGGAAGTGGCGTCCTCCCACCCCCGCCCCTCCCCCCATGACCGTCCACGCCGCGAAGCTTCCATGCTGTGGGGGAAGGCCCATGGCACCTGCTCACCTTACTCCAGGGAGGCCACCGTGTTTCCTGCCGAGCGTGCTTATTGATGTTGGCTGCACATGTCATTGCAATTACATAATTTAATTAAATATTATACAAGCTGATGAAAAATAAATGTGTAAAGAAGGCAGAGTTTCTGGGAAAACAAAATTGAAGACTTCAGAAAATCTCAGAGGAAAATTTGGGTGGAAAAAAATGTTGCTGTTTAATAAGGCAAGTGGACCATAAAAACTGAGGGGGAGACGCCGAGCCTGGCCCGAGCGCAGGTGCCAAGCTGGCAGCTCGAGCCGGGGCTGTGCTGGTGCAGAAAACTATGAGGAGGCTGTCAGTGGTGGGCACACGCACACATCGGTGGTGGGCACCCACAGGTTGCTGGTGGTCACACACACGTCAGTAGTAGGCACACAGGTCAGTGGTGGGCACGCGTTGCTGGGCACACATACACACGGTGGTGGGCACACACACAGGTCAGTGGTAGACACACACGCACGTAGGTGGTGGACACACACATACACATACTTATCAGTGGTGGGCACACACATGATGAGGAGCCCTTGCTGTTTTTTCTTTCTTTTTTAAAGCTTTATTTATTTCTATTGGAAAGGCAGGCTTACAAAGAGAAGGAGAGAGAGAAAAATCTTCCCTCTGTTGGTTCACTCTCCAAGTGGCCACAGTGGTCACAGTTGAGGCAATCCGAAGCCAGGAGCCCAAAGCTGCTTCTGGGTCTCCCATGCGGGTGCAGAGGCCCAAGGCTTTAGACTATCCTTGACTGCTTTCCCAGGCCACAGGCAGGAGCTGGATGGGAACTGGAGCATCTGGGACATGAACTAGTGCCCGTATGGGATCCCGGGGTCACAAGGTGAGGACTTCAGCCACTAGGCTGCTGCGCCTGGCCCCAAGCTCTGGCCTGTTTGTGCTTAGGATGTGCCAGGCATTTGTGACAGAAGGATAGACTTCTGTCTCCGTATGAAAAGGCGGAGCCTGCGAGTGGGTTGAGCAGGATGGCAGGCAGCCACTGGCACTGTGTCCTTGTGCAAGTGGAGGAATGGCCAACGACGCTGTCTTGTCTGCAGTGAGGATGTCACAGAGGGTCCCTGGCCGGGATGGCGGTGGGCTGATGGCGTCGTAGGGGCCGGGGTCGTACAGGCATGACTCTGTCCTGCTCTGTGAGTTCAGAGCCCTGTTCAGGATGGCCATCAGGACCGGGTCCAGGTCCTGTCCTGCCCTTGCCCGCACAGCCTTGCAGCATGCCCACCTGTTGGCCCTGATTGTCACATTTGACTCGTTACCGACCTGTGCTCTCTGCAGGGCTGATGGTGCAACCATGCGGAGAGCCCATCTCACCCGGTGTCCACGTTCCGGGGTGGACACACTGGCTGGACCCTGGCTCGGCAGTCCCAGGGTGGACACACTGGCCGGACCCTGGCTCGGCAGTCCCGGGGTGGACACACTGGCCAGAGCCCTGGCTCGGCAGTCCCGGGGTGGACACACTGGCCGGAGCCCTGGCTTGGCAGTCCCGCTGTGGCCCTACTATTGTGTTCTTGGACAGGTGGTGCCCGGCAGGAGCTTGCCGCTGCACTGCTGTCGGCCTCCGGCCGTGGCTCTTGCCAACTCGGTGCCACTGGCACTTGGGGCTCCAGCCAGAGCCAGGGCATCTGCTGTTGGGGCCTCGAAATAGCTGCTGCTGGGTCAGTGTTGCTTTTTCCCAGAAATAAATCAGTGGACAGACTCCCCATGAGCCTCCGTTGCGCTGTGTGCAGCTGAGTTCGAGTCCGAATTCAGCTGCAGATCAAACAGAAAGACCCTCCCCCGCGCCCCCACCCCTGCCGCCCACCAGTTGGGATGAAAAAGGCCTCGCAGCTGAGGCCGGGCTTTCAACAGCAGCTGTCGTGGCTGGGCCGCGGCTGGGCCGTCACCTCCCTGTCATCCTGAGTGCCTCCCCCTGTAGCTGTGAAGTGCAGGCTTTGGAACAGCTCTGCGGGCTCTATTTTTAGGCTGTGATGGTGCTTGGCCCGAAGCCGTCGAGCTGCCAGTACTTAGCTGGTCCCCAGACCACCCTTGGTGAGCATTCATGAGCGCCTTAGCACACACAGGTCACAAGGCTTCCGGAAAAGAAGTACTCCTGCTGCCAAGTAGGAGCCTGGGCCCCTGACTGGGCTCGGACTGGTGGGGAGCGGCCCCTGCAGGTGCACTGCCTCCCGTGGGCAGCGCCTGAGTCCTCTGGACCCTCCCCCTGGGTCCTCCCCGCCCTCCCCCCCCAGTCCTCTGGGCCCTCTCCCTGGGTCCTCCAGGCCATCCCCCTGGGTCCTCCCCCTGGGTCCTCCGGGCCCTCCCCCTGGATCCAGGTCCTGGCTTATGCCACATGGTCAGACCCCAGCCACTGTCGCTGGCAGCTTTTTTTTTTTTTAAATTTTTATTATATCATCACCACCCCAACTTTCGAGCTAACCAGTGGGGCTAGAATATCCACAGGGTTTGGCCCACACATTCCCCACAGAATCTACCCCCCAGATATGGTTCTCAAGTGCTAGTTATTGTAATGGCCCTGCTTAACGTGACCCTTCTCCTGATCCATCATCATGTCAGGTAACAGGATATGATACTGCTGGACGAGCCCCGAGCCGTAGCTGTTGCATGGACTGGTGTTTGGTGGTCAGCATTGTTCAGATTACAGGTTCTACAAAAGAAGAATTCCTGTCTTTAGGATTGATTTCATGTCCTAGAAGCATAGTGGGTTCAACCTGGAGCTACCTAAGCAGCGATTCAAAGAACCAAAACCCCAGAGGTCCAGGCCGGGCGGCCAGCAGGCGGAGCCTGGCACCAAATGGCACATTGGCCGCCCGGGGACAGCTCTCCATGTGCACATTGTGGCCGTTGTCTGGGATCCAGGCATGAGACGCCCCGTCCTGAGACCCAGCAGCAGCCGGGAGGCTGCTGGAAGTTTAAACTCCCAGGCCCAAGGTCGCACCCCTCCCCGATCCCAATCACCGCCCAATGAGGGCAGCGGGTGGCCCAGTCACAGAGACCTCCCCCCTTGGTGTATTCACCCCGAAGGCAACAGCCCCAGAGCCCGGGCAGGCCTGGGGACAGCTCGCCACATGCACATGCCACGGAGTCCGGGATGCCAGCAGAACGAGAACTGGTGATTGTGTGCCCACCATGGCAGTTCCCACAGCTAGAAAATGCAGTTAAAAATGATGGCACGAGGGCAGGTGTCAGTTGCTGGGGTCGGGACACCTGCCCCCTGCCAGCATGCACCATGGGGAGCAGCGGGTGGTGCCCCCCCTGCCAGCATGCACCATGGGGAGCTGCGGGCAGTGCCGCGGGCGGTGCCGATGGGGGGGGGCTTTAGCCTGGCCAGTCTTGACTGCTGGAGCCATTTGTGCCGTGCGCCAGCAGGTGGGAGAGCTCTTTGTTTCTTTACCTTTCAAACAAGTAAGACAAGTTTTTTAAAAATGCTTTGGAAGACTTGATCCTGACTTGGGAGTGTTCATGGATGTTACTCGTTTTCTCTCGGCTTGTTGAGCTCAGAGACCCGAGGCAGCCCTCGGAGGTGGTGGCAGCAGCAGTCACGGCACGCTGGGCCTGGTGCCCCTCCATGTCTCAGGCTCAGGAGCGTCTTCCGCACTTGGCTTGTCTGGAGTGCGATGTGCGGCCCCCGGGCTCTGCCACCCGGGAGGTGGGTGCAGAAAGCCTCGCAGAGCAACTCTGGGGACGAGGCTGATCTTGTAGCTGGGGTGGGGCTGTGCCACAGGAGGAAGGCTGTGGCTCCTCTGTGGCCTGGGATGGGGCTCCAGGTACTCCTCAGCAGGACAGAGTCCTGGGGGCGTGGTGCCCGTGCAGAAAGACGCACCAGCAGCATCCATCAGCATCCATCGCAGCGCCCAGCAGGTCTGTGCAGGCCAACCCTGGCGCCCTGGTGCGGTGGCCAAGGCAACTTCGTGGCAGGAATGCCTTCGCTGTGTTGAGCAAGGCTGGAGACGGAGCTCTGGGGAGGAGCTCTGAGGTGCAGGCTTCCCTGATGTGGAGTTGGGGCACAAACGAGCCCTGGGACATTTGCTAGTGGCGCCACCCGGCTTCCTCAATGTGTCTGGCTGTAGCCTGCTGCGAGTGGCCCCTGCTGAGGCTAGCCCAAGGACACGCTGACTTGGTGACCACTAGCTGTGCTGTACCTCTGAACCTCTCCACTGTGAGGCTGTGACGGGGCTCACCTGGGGCTTGGGGCCTGCCTTGCCATTGCAGGATGCTGGGGAGAGGGGCGTTGTGCTGTGGGCCCGCACCTTGCAGTGGCTGGAGAGAGGGGCGTTGTGCTGTGGGCCCGCACCCTGCAGTGGCTGGGGAGAGGGGCGTTGTGCTGTGGGCCCGCACCTTGCAGTGGCTGGGGAGAGGGGCATTGTGCTGTGGGCCCGCACCCTGCAGTGGCTGGGGAGAGGGGCGTTGTGCTGTGGGCCCGCACCTGCCAGGGCTGTTGGTCCACTACCTGCTTTGCCTTGCTCTGCACAGGTGAAGTGAACTCAGGGCTTCCAGGGGTCACGTGTCCCTGCTTGTGGGCATGCGTGGGCACAGGCATGGTCAGCGTGTGCTGGCCGGGTCTAGCTGTGGCTTTGTCTGGGCCTGTGAGCTGTGGGCTGGGGGTTTTCTGCTGCATTTAGGGTACAGCTGGAGCCTTTTGGTTGTCTCTCTCCCACAGGACTCCAGAAGACCTTTCCAGGTTCATTGTGGAGCTGCAGCAGAGAGAACTCGCCCTGAAGGACAGGAACAGCAGCGTCACCAGCAGGTACGCTGTGCCCAGTGGCCGAGCCGTGCACCTGGTCTGCCTTGGGAAGGTGGGATTTGAGGGTGGACATTGCCCGTGTTCTTGCTGTGTGGGGTGGCACTGTGGTCCTGACACCCCACCATGTCGCCACTTAGGCTCTGCTGGCCCAGCTCGTGCCTTGTGTTGTCCCACTGTGTGGGCTCTGTGAGACCTGGTCTTGGTGCTGGGGTTCAAATGTGTGAGGGCTGTGCTCTTCGGGTGGCGTTGCACAGCTCTGAATGGCGTATCACAGCCCGGCAGAGAGCTGGCTGGGTGGCTTATGGCCTGTACCAGGCCGTCCTCCCAACCCGAGATGGGCATCCCATCCCATCAGTTCTGGCATGACCCCGAGTGGGCAGATTTCAGAGTCTGGCTCCCCAAGCCTAATCCATCTCAGAGGCCAGTGACAGGATTGTCACCCCCCTGTGGCCTGCGCTGGCTCTAGGGTCCGTGTGTTCTGCTGGGCTGGAGGGTAACGCTGTCCGCATGGTGTGTTTCTTGCTGTTGGGGTCTGCGTGCGAGGGCCTGGAGCTGAGACCTGGTGTCTTCTCGACAGCCCCCAGCACAATGCTTTGCTTCCCAGTACCTATCTCTTAGCAGGCCGGGGGCTCCCAGGAGCGGCTTCCGAGGCCCAGGGAAGGTCCAGAACTGCCCACTCTCCTGGCCCTGCGTGTGCCCTGCAACCTGAAGTGCTCATGTTTATTTTTAAAAAGTATTTATTTATTTGAAAGGCAGAGTTAGAGGTCTCTGCTGTTCATTCCCAAGCTGCCTCAATGGGTCGACTGATTTCTGGAGCCACGCGCTTCACCTGGGCCTGTGGGGGGTGGGGTGGGAGGAGCTTATGTGGATCAAATGCTGCTGCTTTCCCAGCTGCGTTAGCACGGGACTGACTTGGAAGTGGAGCAGATGGGAATCGAACTCACACCCATCTGGAATACCAGCTCTAGGGGCAGTGGCTTAACCTGTGCTGCCCTGCTGGCTCCAGCTCTGAGTTTTGTTCAGAGTTACCCAGCTTACTGTGAGGCACCTGTCCAACCGCATCCTCACTGGCTTTGGTGGAGGGCAGCCTGTTCCTGAGTCGCTCATTAGCAATACTCAGGGTGAGCTGAGGGTGCGCGTGCCATCTGGGGACACTCGGTGTGTCTTGAGCTGAGGGTGCGTGTGTCACCTGGGGACACTCGGTGTATCCTGAGCTGAGGGTGCGTGTGTCACCTGGGGACGCTTGGTGTGTCCTGAGCTGAGGGTGCGTGTGTCACCTGGGGACACTCGGTGTGTCCTGAGCTGAGGGTGCGTGTGTCACCTGGGGACACTCGGTGTGTCTTGAGCTGAGGGTGCGTGTGTCACCTGGGGACACTCGGTGTGTCCTGAGCTGAGGGTGCGTGTGTCACCTGGGGACACTCGGTGTGTCCTGAGCTGAGGGTGCGTGTGTCACCTGGGGACACTCGGTGTGTTCTGAGCTGAGGGTGTGTGTGTCACCTGGGGACACTCGGTGTGTTCTGAGCTGAGGGTGCGTGTGTCACCTGGGGACGCTTGGTGTGTCCTGAGCTGAGGGTGCGTGTGTCACCTGGGGACACTCGGTGTGTCCTGAGCTGAGGGTGCGTGTGTCACCTGGGGACACTCGGTGTGTCCTGAGCTGAGGGTGCGTGTGTCACCCTCGGTGTGTACTGAGCTGTACGGGTGTGTGTCTGAGCTGAGGGTGCACCTGGGGACACTCGTGTGTCTGAGCTGAGGTGCGTGTGTCACCTGGACTCGGTTGCGCTTGTGTGTCACCTGACCTGGTGTCTGACTGAGGGGCGTGTCACCTGGGGACACTCGGTGTGTCCTGAGCTGAGGGTGCGTGTGTCACCTGGGGACACTCGGTGTGTCCTGAGCTGAGGGTGCGTGTGTCACCTGGGGACACTCGGTGTGTCCTGAGCTGAGGGTGCGTGTGTCACCTGGGGACGCTCGGTGTGTCCTGAACTGAGGATGCACGTGCCACTGGTAGCATGCCTGGGTTTTAGGCTCTGTCAGGAGCTACAAGGCGGTGACCAGATAGAAGCGACTTGGAGCAGTGGGTGATAAGGCTGGTGGCTTCTGCGGCCTGAGGTGGCTGTTGGCACAGATGTCCTGTGCAGCATGGGGATGCCCAGGCCCCAGTGATTTCCTTAGTCCTCTGCCCAGGCAAGGGTGGCCTTCCCTGCACAAGCGGCTCAGTTGCTACTCTGCAGTGGTTAGTCATGTGGGGTTGGCACCTGGGCATGCAGGGTTCTAGGGAAAGGTCGTGTGGCTGTGACCACAGCTGGAGCCCCTGGTGTCCTGTGTGGGCTGCCCTTCCCAGCAGACAGGGCCTGGCCTGGGAGCTGTCAGCCACAGCCTGGCCCTGTGAAGGAGGGACGAAGGGCCCTGACAGTTTATCAGCAGCCCTAGGAGGAGTCCCTTCCTTCCTTCCTTCCTTCCTTCCTTCCTTCCTTCCTTCCTTCCTTCCTTCCTTCCTTCCTTCCTTCCTTCCTTCCTTCCTTCCTTCCTTCCTTCATCTCTCTTATTCATTCATTCATTCATTGGAAAGGCAGATCAGATTTACAGAGAGAAGGAGAGACAAAGATCTTCCATCTACTGGTTGACTTCCCAAATGGCCACAATGGCCAGAGCTGAGCTGAGCTGAAGCCAGGAGCCCCTTCCAGGTCTCCCAGGAGGGTGCAGGGTCCCAAGGCTTTAGGCCATGCTCTACTGCTTTCCCCGGGAATTGGAGCAGTCAGGACATGAGCTGGCGATCATATGGGATTGTGGTGCTTGCAAGGTGAAGGTTGAGCCCTGGGCCGCTGGCCGGGCCCAGGCCTTAGGAGCGTGTGGCGATGTTGGGCCGTGGGCACTTCAGTGGATGTGAACATCCTTGGTGATAGAGAGGACTTCTGCTTTTGGAGCGTTACAGATGATCTGAAATCAGACCTGTGACATTTGCATGGTGTCCTCTTCCTTCTTCTTTAAAAGGACACAGAAGGAACTCAGAAGGAGTGAGAGCTGGCCGTGTCCTCCTCCCCCAGCGTGGTGAGGTCCTGGCTGTGGCCGCTGTCCACCTGCGTGTGGGCTGAGCAGCTGGGAGTGGAGCCCTGCCGTGGTGGGTGCACGTCTGAGTGGATCCTGAGCCAGACCCGGAGACGGCCACGGTCACTCTGTGGAGAGGAGACTGCGTTTCTGCACAGCTCAGACGTGTTCTCAGGAGCGTGCAGTGAGGCCTGCTGCTCGGGGCATCTGCCCCCGGGGACTGGGCCACACGGGGCGGGTGGTCTACATCTCAGAAGGGTGAGGAGGGTGGTGGTGATGCTGAGTGTGGGGAGAAGTGTAGGATTCTGTGGGCATGTGCTTGCACCAGGCGCTGTGCCAAGTGCTTCCTGTGCCATGTCTTTGTGTGACCCTCCAGGGAGCTAGAGCTGCCCCCTGAGGTGTGACAGGTGCTCCATGCCCAGGTTGAGCAGGAGGAAAGAGGCTGCCCTCCAGGCCGTCAGGCACCTGTTTGTGTGCCTCCACAGAGATCTTGGTTGGGACATTTGTGGGTGCACTGCCTTCTGCCGGTCCAGAGCCTCATGTGCCCCTCCTCAGGCTGGAGGTGGCCCTGGGACTGAGTGGCTACAGCTCTTGCCTCTGGCCTCCTGTGGTCACTGAGCCTTCTGGGCTCAGATCCAGAACTGTGCCCCTGTGCAGCTGCTGCAGCCCCTGCGGCCAGTCTTAAGGGTTGTGTTCCGTCGTCTCGAAGGAGCCGTTTGCCAGAGGCCACCTGCGTTACTCTTGCCTGGGAGCCTGCGGTGCTCCCTGCTCCAGCTGGCGTTGGCTGGTCTTCCTGTGGTGCTCCCTGCTCCAGCTGGCCTTGGCTGGTCTTCCTGCGGTGCTCCCTGCTCCAGCTGGCCTTGGCTGGTCTTCCTGCGGTGCTCCCTGCTCCAGCTGGCCTTGGCTGGTCTTCCTGCGGTGCTCCCTGCTCCAGCTGGCCTTGGCTGGTCTTCCTGCGGTGCTCCCTGCTCCAGCTGGCCTTGGCTGGTCTTCCTGTGGTGCTGCTGCTTGGGGCCCTGGCTGCTGTCGTGACAGATGGTGCTGCTATGTGAAGAGCACTCAGGAGCATGTGCACGAGATAAGTTCCCGTGCCCTTTCCCAGTCTGTGGTAGTGGGGTACACGTGGTTGGGCTTTCCTGGCAGTGGCCAGCTGAGGTCAGTGGGTTGCGTCCTCCCGGTGTGTGTGTGTCTCCTCTACTCCCTGGGTTCTTGGCCATCCTCTCAGGCTGTCCACGAGTTTGAGGACTCCTCGTCCTGTGTGACTGCTCTCCGGCCACCAGCGGCCAGGCAGGCCAGCAGCGTGTGTGTCAGGTGGCGCTGGCTGCCAGCTCGGGCTGCCTGTGTTCGTGCCTTGGCTCTGTTGTTGTGGATCTCACTGTTGTCAGAGGATGTACCTGGCCTGTCTGTGTGACATGCAACGACTGTCCCCCTGGAACAGGAGGAGCAGCTTGCTCTCTGCAGCTCACATCCAGGCTTGCAGGTCATCATCGTCATCCCTGTTTTGAGGAATTGGGATGAACTGGGTACTTCAAAATGCTCATGAGAAAAGGGAATTTGAAGAAAAATTGATTTTGGTTCAAGAGAATTTTGGTGTCTGTGCATAGATACTTAATATTGTGTGTTCTTCATCGGGGACCTGGGATGGGTGGGAGGCTGGGTGGGCTACTCCCTTTATCTCCCCCTTTACCCCAGATAAATGTGGAAATAATAGTCTTACCCACTTTTCTGTAGCCCTTGAACCTTTGTGCCCTAATTAATGAACTGTGTAAAGATCATCAAAAATAAAGAAAAAAGCTATTGTGTGTCCCTGTGAGCTTCGTGAAGGCACCCGATGTACATGGTTGGCCAAATTTGATGTGTGCTGAAATTCTGTTTCCCACGTGCTTTTGGAATGCTCTTGTGACATGTCGGCATAGTTAGGTACAGTTGGGGTGAGCTGGTTAGTGGTGCTGGCCCGAAGG